AAGTTTGGTCGGCCTCAGCAGATGGCCGCTCACACTGAGCCTGGTTCTACTGGAGGTTTCTTCCTGTTAAAAGGGAGTTTTTCCTCTCCACTGTCGCTACAAGCATGCTTAGTGTGAGGGATTGCATTTGAGTCAATGAGTCGATGCAATCAACTGGTTTTCCTTAGATAGAAAACTTTGACTGTACGATCTAGTGAACTAAAGTGCCTTGAGATGACATGTGTTGTGAATTGGCGCTATAGAAATAAACTGAATTTAATTTAATTAAATATACAGTTATATGTTTATATTACTGTTTTTCAGGGCTGCACTTGTCCAGAGAGCAGTTCTTAACGAAATGTATTTTTGTTTTACACTTGTATAAACAAAATGTCAAATAAATCCATCTAAGTCTAAGTCTAAGTTTTAAAAAGAACTGGCCAACATCATTATAATAGTTTTTCTTTTCATGACTTTGAGTGTTAAACTGTTTGCGTTGATTATTTGATCAGCTTTTAGAAACTTTCTGAAAATAAACAATCTTGCTCTTTATTTCTCCAGCAGCATTTGGGAGCCCACGTCACCGGTTTCCACGGTGGGCAGATCCAGCAGGCTCTTCCGGTGGCTACGTGGCTCTCCGCTGCCATCTTCACGCTAACAGCTAAACGCTCCACCGTCCCTGCTCCGGTCAGCTGCTTCCCCACAGTGACACTAAATCTCAGAAAACAACCCAGACTGCGGATTGAAGACCGTCCTCACATCCAGAGAGACCAAACATGGTGAGTAAATGGCGGACGCCATTGTAAACAGTCTTAGTTGTTATCGGGCCTTCCAGTTATCATAACATTGGCTAAAGCGGCTAAAGCTAGCACTTAGCTAGCCTGGCTTCTCTAAAACGGAAACAAGGGAAACTCAGAGGCTGCTTCAGCTGACTGTCAGTGCAGACTTTATAGTAAACACCTAATTAACATCTAAACCATTTGTGTTTGTCATTTATTATCATATTGTGTCATAATTCAAGGATGTTGGTCTGCAAGCAGCTCTGACGGCTCCTAGCTTACCGGGCTAATGCTAGTTACCTGCTGTCACTAAATGAAGCCTGGTTAAATGTTCAATATGTCATTCCGTCCTCAGTCTGCACCACCTTCCCTTCTCATACCGAGTGGTTGGTGTATTTAAATGTTTTTAAATGTGGTCAGATAGCGGTGACAGCCTCGTTAGCTCCTGTTAGCTTATCTCCAAGTTCAACACGTAGTCCGAGAGTCCTCAACGTCAGCGTGGAAAGGAGACACTTTATCCTCCTTATTATCAGGTTTTAATTTTATATAGAAATTAATTTTCATGTGCAACTTGGCTTTATGTCATTTAGAGGTTTGCTGAGATTCCCTTCCAATGTTAAACTCCTTAAACGCTGTCTCTTTTCATTCATTTTTCAATGTTCATATTCAGTTTAATGCTATATAATTATTATAGAATAGCCACTTTGCAATGGTGATTAAAAGCTGAATAACTTGTATTACTGGAGAGGGAAGAAAATACAATTTTAATTCTCCCTGTCTCTGCTGGATATCCCTTATAATAAGGTTTTAAATAATTAAATATTCCAGCTTTAAAGTTTTTTTCCCCACACTGTGACAGTTTGGAGAAGCATTAAACTAATAAATAGATTGGGATTCATTTAAACAGATATTTGTTAAATAGAACAGATATTGGATGGACCACATCAATGGATGCTGCAACATTACTTTGTGACAGTCAAAAATATAATTGATCAGTTTGAAGACCTTCTTGTTTTGCGTTTATTGCAAATTAAATATGAGTATGCAGCTACTTGAAGAAAAAGCTATTTTCCTCTTCACAATCCTTTGTTAGAAACTTTTCTTTTGGCTGATATTAGATTTTTTTGTTTGAATTCAATTCGGTTTATTTCTATAGCACCAATTCACAGCAC